ACTCCATGCCTAATGGAGAAGCCGGTCACCTAGGCCCAACTTCCGAGGGAAGCCCAATCAGCCCAAGGTTAACCTAAACCTAGATTGGCACGTTTCCCGAGGTTATAAATACCTCCCTTAATCCTCATTAAGGGAGATTACGCAGATTACACACATTAAACACTCTCACCTAGAGAGACTCAATCACTTTAATTTCCGCATTAATTACTCCTTAATCAAGTACTAACTTGACCGTCGGAGGCGGATCTCCAATCATCCGGAGCATCCGTTTGTTTTGCAGGTACAGGCGTCCGGTTCCAGTCTCGGAATTGTAACTCTCCCGCAGGACATCAGAAAACCCCGAAACATTAGTTATCTCTTAAACGTCAATCATAAGATTGTTTTATACAACTAACATAGTCGGTCATCAAGAAGTCGCACATACATATACCATTTGTGTAAGCTAACATAGAGACTTTTTTTTTTTTTGTTTGTAAGCTAACATAGGGAGTTTTGTACAAGCACTATACTCTTATATGTATGAAAAACTATTAAAAATAAATATACGATACAACTAAGCAAAATTTTTAAAATTAAAGTATAGTATCATACACACAAGTATATTAACCAAATTTGTTCCCTCGAGACTAAACTCATGCAATAATATAAATTAAGTTTTGCATATTAGCTACTTGCTCTGTTTCATAATACTTAATAATAAACCTTTTTGGCACAATATTTGAGGGTCGGGATGGCACAATATGTGAGGATCCGGAGTGAGTAAAAATGGCTAATAGACAAAATCGACATAAAAAATGTAAACTACTCCGTATAAAAATCTAATACATTCCATTCACGAGTGGTGAATTTATTTTAACTATTAATTTATTAGTTTATTTACCTTTTCTAATTAATCTCAACCTTCAATTCCATATAAAAATGGTTTGTTGCAAGCATACAAAAAGAGGTGGTATATATTAATCAAAGTTCAAAAATAACAAGTGCGACATATGGTTGTTTACAATTGTAGCAAATCATCCTACTCTGAATGACCCCAAAAAAAGGACTATGAACCATCAATTTATGAAGGAAACGCTTATATTAATTAGTAAATGCTTATATAACAGTGAATAATGAATACTAATACACATACACTTCAACTGATACAAGCTAAGGTTGTATCTATTTAATTAAGATTGTATTTAAGAATGACATTGTAGAATTTTCACTATTATAACATCTTGTACGAAAATTTTATAGTAATGTATCAAGTTCATATGGACATGTTTTCTTCATCAATACTCATTTCCAGTACTATTTAATAAAAAATTGCTTTTTATAGAAGCGGCCATGATAATGAAAATCTGTAAATTCAAACGGAACACTTGCTAATTAATGATGTAATGTGTCACCGCAAAAATTATTAACCTTGAAATTTCATTAAAATTGTGTAATTATCATTCTCATGCACTTATTAGAACAAATTAAATAAACATGAGCACGCACCACCTTTTATAGGTTGTACAAAAATAGAAATGGGCTGATTTTAGTTACTATTTTTTCCCATCCTATGACCGACCTCCTCCAATTTCAGCTTCCACTTCCCAAACTCTAGATCATAGTACTCGTCAATTATTATTGTACAACAGGAAGGCTATTTTTTGGTTTATATGTTCATTTTATTTGGTTTATTATTGGTCGTACCATACACATCTTGAAACTTAGTCGAAAAATCGAGAGGAATTTAAATGAAAGAAAAAAAAAGGAAATTACTAAAAGACCAGAAAGGTTATTTGTCGATAAACTCCAGATAATGATTAGGCAATTAGGTTTACTTAGTCTTGTAGTTGTCTTAAAAGAATTCATTGCATGCTTTTGGATGTTTTGTAGTAGAGATAGGTATTTATGACGGAGTAATTATTACTGTATTAAGATAGTTAACAATTAAGACTCAGATATAGACCATAATAGATGTTTCGTTGTATAGATATGTATGTACAAGTATGTAGATGGGTACGATCAGCGTAGCGATATGTATCAATGTATGTATGCGAGCAAGAAGTGTACGATGAAAAATGATATAGAAATCAACCTGTAAAATCAAACAGAATTTCATCATATGTTCATATCCAACCAAAATTGGCACTACGTATTTACATGGATCTATAAGTGCCAGAAAATTATCCTACCATGGTGCAGAGACTTTGAAGTTGATGTGATTATTAGGGAGTAGATTTTACACAATCTGCCTCGTAGTCATTATAAAATATTATAAAAAAAAAAACAAAATATCATGTTGAGTGACTTTATATTGGTGTACCATTACTCATCATTGCCTTAATAAAAAAAAAAAAAAAAACTAAGTCAACAATATGTTCAGCTTGCTAGCTAATTCCAATAGAGCGAGGATATATGGCTGTAAATATTAGGGAGTTAATTCTAAATACATACATGGAAAGCTTTTGCCTCTGATCCTATCCTACTACCAGACAATTACTTTATCTTACTTGGTGGTAGACTAGTAGTTGTACCTTGTACGTTATAGCAAGCTTATAGTAGTTTAACCACATACAAGTTCAATAAGATTTTATCACTAAAAATTGTCAATTGGTAATAAGAGGATTACCCCACTGGTATTTAACCACATACAACTTCAATAGGATTTCATCTTAAATTGTCAAAGCATGAGCTAGGTGCACTTAGCTCATATGTAGCGCATGTGAGTAGTTGATGTGGAGCCGCCGTGGAGGGGTGCACCTAGAGGTGCACATACGTGACTATACAGATGCTTTGACAATAAGCCCTAAACTGCTAAACACAATTTGTAGCTAGTGGGAGTGCTAATTAAAATCACACTTTAAAGTGACTGTTAATTGAATAAATGCAATACTCCGTACTTTGTATATACAGAGTACTTTTGTAGCAACTCACAGCATACATTAAAGGGAGAGGGACTGAGGGAGGGTGTTAAAGTTGAAGTTGCCTTGAAGGAATGAAGAAATAACAGCAACCAAGCAAACAATGAATATGTTATTTATTAAAGCGGACAATTCATGATTCTCTTCCAACGGAATCCAAAACAATTGATAGATAAAAAGGTTGAAAATGATAATTACCAACAGATAAATGTAAAAGATGCACAAATCACAAAACCTAAAAGATTCATTACAACACTAACACATGAGCTGCTGAAAAGAGGGTTGAAGGCAATCAATAAATTAGAGTATACGACGACTTTCTTATCATTGCAAACTCAAAGTTCTTTGATCAGCACAGAACTTAAGTAAACAATTCAAAATTACTGGATAACTAAGTTTTCTCAGATGCCTAAAGTGTTCAAGTTACGACTTTAATTAAGCATAGGAAAGCTTAACTAAGCTTAATTAATACAAAGGTACATGGTAATATGAGCCAAAAAGAAAGTTGATTTGAAATTCCATATTCTTATTATGAGAAAAGAATCAAGAAAAGGTAATGATAATTGAGAAACAATTAACAGCTGGCCTGGCTTGGGGGATTATGAACATGGAGTTGAAAGTCTCAACTAGTTTATAATATTGTCCTCTTCATATAAAACATATTTTAGTACTGATATTATACTTGGAGAAGCAAATAATATACAGTTTATTTCCATTCCATGGTTTACTATTAATGTTATGTCACTTGTTAATATGCTACAAGTATGCAGTTAGTAGTACAATCATTTATTTACACAGTTTGTTTAGACATATATTCTTTCTTGGTGTGTACATATATATGATAAAATTTGACATGCACATTGTAAAAGCATTACTGTATATACAACTCTACTGTATAATGTATATGGGTGGCATAGAGGGCAGTGCATTCACAGTAAAAAAGAAAGCTAGCTGTAGCGCCCCCCAAAGTGGAGTATATTTTCTCCAACTCAACAAGAAAACCCTCCGGCACTCTTACGGGTAAACTGGGAAAAGGAACTTTGATATTCCAAAAATTATAAACCACTAAACATCATCCCATTTTTCCTTCTATCTATTTGGATTACCCATAAATTAATTTAAAGGCTTCAAATTCTTTTTCTACCACACCCAAGAAAAAGAAAAAGAAAAATGCATGTGCTATAAAAATTTAAATAATAAAAAGAGTTTTCAAGAACATGGAAAAAAAAGAAACACCCTTTATTGCTATCATGTTAATGACAGAATTCATGATCATCAAAGAAATGCTCCTTATGGAAAATATGTATAGAAGAGCACATAACATCTCATGCTTAAGTTTTAAATTAAAGGAGATGGTTACTAACATACATCATCTGATCATCATGCGTGCTATTCGTGAAACACTACTATCATTTTTCGATTACTAATGTTAAGTTTTGGGAATATGCATAAATTCAGATTATTCCAACAACATTGATCATCTGTTAATCTATCATGCATTGTAGAAACACATTACCACATTTTTGACTAAAAATTTTAAGTTAAAACTTTTAGGGATGTATGAAGAATGTAAATTCAGATTAGTTTTAACAAGGCATTCGTCATTTGTGATCAACATGCATTAGTAGAAATACATTACCATGTTTTGACTTATTAAGTAATAGAAATGTATATATAAATTCAGATTTGTTTAAAACCATCATGCACTAATAGAAGCTTATTATTATTGTTCGACATAGAAAAATTAGTTCTACTAAGACTAGATCATTTTACATCATAAATCAAGTTGAGATAAAACAAAAAACGAAGTCTAATATTAATTAAGAGTTGTGACAAGAGCATTAATTGTCATATGAGAGCTGAGCTAAGAAAGGGCTTTACAATACTGTATGATCAGTAATTTCAGTATACAGAGGTGCAAAGTATTCTAGAGCAGTGGATTAAGCCAAAAGTGATGATACTAAAGGGAGTTGACATGGGATTATGTAACTATCATGTATAGAGTAAATATTGGAAAACTATGTGTGTAGGCAATTCAATAACGTTTTCAAGTTGAAGTCAACTTTGAAACTCTGAACAAAGAATTGGTACCAATCAAGCTAGTAAGACTTATCAACCATCCTAGCTACTTGCCTAACTATATATGTATTCAATAGAGAGTTGTTACAGAGCAAGAATGATACAATTACATGCTTTTATTTATAACAATAACAAATTAAAAATAGATGATATTCTAAATGGATGACATTGACATACAAAAACAAAATAAACCTTGATAAATATAATAACAACCCATATCATATCATGTATTCTTCTTCCCTTGCTCTAGGCTTTACCTATTCAATTTATCTTTACCAAAAACAATTCCCAATAAAACTAAGATCATCACCGGATTTCACCAATGTATGAGTGAGTAGAGAGCGGAAAGAAAGGAAGCTAATGATTTAATAGCAAGAAACATAAGAAAAGTCCATATAATATTGCATATAGTTGTATGTTTATTTGGGCAGCTTAGATTAATATTCTAAGGTCTTGGGTTGGGGAAGAATGGCGTACCCGGACCCAAGTAAGTGTTGAGAGGAAGCGGGTAGTAAGACGGGTCTAAATACCCGACTGGAGGCGAAGAAGATGAAGTAGGCATAGCCGAGATAGAAGCGGGAACACCCATGGAAGCAGCAAGGTTAGCTCCGGAAGAGGTTTCAGCAGCACCATAGTTGGGGCTTGGAGTATTAACTTGGTGAGAATGATCAACTCCGTGATCATACAGAATCCCTTTGAATACATGTCCTCCAATGTTTACTGCCGTTTGATATGCATACTCATCATCCGTTTCGTCCACTGAGCTCACCCTTACGCACCGGAACACCGCCGACGAGTTCACTTCTGTCGGGAAATTTCCAACTTCCATACCTGCTGTATTATTAAAACACAAATATCATTATTCAACTATGCTAAATTAAACACCACTACTAACCTTTATCCAGGTTAGGTTTTAATTACCAGTAGAATTTTCATGATATGATATCCTACTGTTATACAGACTAAACTTTTTACAAGTAAATTAACATTAAGTAGTAATAATTTGTTTTCTCAAAAGTCAGGATTGTAAAATAAATTTTTTTTTTTTAAAAAAAAAAAAAAAAGAATTGGGAAAAGGGTGAATGTGCACATCAGAATGACAATGATTCAAAATACAGATTGTCAAATAATAGCTTAGAAAAACATAGAGGAAAACACGGACAAAGAGGAAGAGAAAGAAAGAAAGGGGCAAAAGCTCAGCACCTCTCCTTTCTTGTCAATCTATTCGTCAGGAATACTAAAAAACAGTATCACCAAAAGACACCACCACTAACCAACCATGAGGGATTTTTTTTTTTAATAAATTCATTTTCCCCATTTACACGCAAAATATCAAGATCATATGTTAATATTCACACGCATAAATTACATAACCCAAAAAAAAAAAAAGATTCCTTCCCCTAGGGTGATACTACTATACCTGAAAAAGAGGCGGTGTTAGTATTAGTAGTAGTAGTGATGGGCAATTGGGTGCAAAAAAAAGAGGTAGAAGAATTCTCTCTTCTCCTCTTTGGGTTATTCGCACCTCTCAAGTGTTGTTGCTGTTGTTGGTCTTGCTGCTGCTGAGGGTGTTGCTGGAGAAGTTTCTGGTGGCGTTCCCGGCGAACAGTAGCGGGGACCCAGGTACTCTTGACATGAGTAGCACAATCAAATCCACGGCTTTTGCAACAGGTCCTACATCTCATATAGACACAATCTTTCTTAGCTTGGTTGCCGCAGTCTTGGCAGCTAATATTAGCGGCACCACTGGTACTACTCATTCTCATCATCATTAAACCAGATCTCGTTGTCTCATCTCCACCATCTTCCGTCGGTGCGATCCTTAATTCCGAGCAAGGAAGGTGTTGCCACAGCTCTTCTGTTGATAATTTATTTTCATGCTGCTGGTAATTATTATTATTATTAGGGATTTGCTCATTCCTGTAATTTATGTTTTTGTTGTTGTTTCCTCCAGTCCCTAGTGAGAAATATTCAGCCATAATTTGGTCTCCCCTACCCTCAATTTCTCAACAAAACTCTCCATAACCTCTTTCAAATATCAATACAAGCTTATTTTTATAAATAAAAAAAAATTATCAAGGGCAGATCACTGTTTAGTGAAAATTATGTTTACCCTAAAACAAAGGGGTGGATTTGGATGCTTGTTTGGTTAACAGTGGGTGTTTGTTTGTTTATGAGGGTGTAAAAGAAAAAAAAAAAAAAAAAGAAAGAAAGTAAGAAGGAATAGAATAGGTTAAGTAAATGGAAGGAGAAAGAAAGTCAGAAGAGAAGCAGCGCTAATCAGGAAACATTTAAGAAGAAAGATGAGACATTTTTTTTTATTGAGACAGCTCTGCTACGCCGCCATAGAATTAGACACCTTCCCTTCCCAACAACAATTTTTACTCTAGAGTATCTCTCCTCTTTCTCTTTCTCTTTCTTTGGAGTATTACTACTACTGCTGCACTATAGTACTCTGCTACTCTCTTTATTTCTCTCTCTCTTCTTAAAGCTGATCATATCATTTATAATTACCCTTTTATTATAATCAACAAATAGTACAGTACAATTCTTTGGATTTTATTTGTTTGTTTCTTGATTCATTTTAAAAACAAATGTGGATGTTTGGTGTTTCCAATTCCAAGCAATTCCCTCTTTCTTTCTTACGGAATACTGTTATTGCCCTCATCTCAATATCCGGCTACTATTTGCATGCTTTCATCTGACGGTCTTCCTTCTTCCACGTGTCTTGTCAACCTGCTTTTTCTTTCCTTACCTCTTCCTCCAATTAACTGCCACCTTACCTTTAATATCACAGTACTTATCTCACCCTTCTTTTTATACCAGTATCAATTTTCCTACCATCATTTTTAATTTTACTTAGATACTTGTTCTATTCATCAATAACTTCATTTCTCATGCTGCAAATTGTTTTGTGCTAATATATGATCTACAGTGCATGCGGATTAATATAGTACTCCTTTTTAGAATCTACTCGATCTTGAATGTTGTTACATTATTGAGTTATATTAAGCATCATCATTCAATATGTTTATAAAGTTTATTTAATTCCCAAGCTATTACCTTTACTGCATAGTATTGTGTGAAAATGGAGATTAATTTAGGCAATCAATTTAATTTAGGGTTAAGATCATTGCCTATTATCAATCCCGTAAAGGAACAGCTAAACCATTAATTTGAAAAACGCAAGACAAGAGAATTTAGAGATTTAATTGTATTCTAGTAAGGGTCCTCTCATGTTGGAAATCCAAAGAGAGCCATCAAAGATTTTTTAAGCCTTTCTAGATGGGCTCATGCGAGGGGGCATTATGATAATTATCCACATATATGTAAATTAGGATTATTATTTGTCACTCATTGAAATAAGAAATTTGTATAAATGCGACCAACTAACTCCTCGTACAACAAATTGGTTTCAGAATGACTTTTATTATAAACTTGTAAATTATATGACGAATCTAAATGCTTCAATAGTTATACATGTTTATATAAAAGCATCAAAATGCAAATTAAGCGGTATTATAAAGAGAAGTAGAACATGTAAACACACTAGATTTTATCTAGCTAGGTTTATGGACTTAACTCAACTACTTAGGGCCTGTTCTCATACGTTGAAATTCAGTTCAACTCAGCTCAGTTCAGCTCAGCTCAGCTCTTAAGGGTCTGTTCTCATTGACTGAACTGAACTGAATATTTTATAAGAGAAGGAAATTAGGAGCTGAACCGAGCCGAGCCGAACTGAACTAAACTGAACTGAATTTCAACGTAAGAGAACAAACCCTAATTTCCTTCTCTTATAAAATATTCATTTCAGTTCAGCTCAACTTAGTTCAGTTCAGTTCAGTTTAGCTGAGTTCAGTCAATGAGAACAGGTCCAATCTGAACTTTTCAGCTATAAATTGAACTTATATTAGCCTTAAACTTATTTTTGAATCTAAATTATCTGTAATTATGTGAACATAGCTTTGTTGAAGTAAATGAAACTAGGATAATGTGTGTTGCACAACAAGTGTATGTTACAATAGTTATTTTAGACAAGTAAGTTTTATTGAGATAAGTTGGAATAAAGTTTGAATAAATTGAGATAAGTAATAATTAAAAACATATTTGTAATTAGTTTAATAGAGCAAATCAATCAAATGTTGGTATGCCCCTTGGATCAAGGCTTTACATCACGTCCTTGACCATGAGCAAGTGATAACTACCTTAGTTATAAACACTTTATTCTGGAATTCACTCACCGTCCAGCACTAAGGCTGGCCAACTTAACAGTACACCTACAATAATGTAGATGATTATGAGAGAGTAGACGATCCGATCCATGGAAAAGAATAAAGAATAATCCATCAATTCCATTTACTACATACTGCTTCAATCTTCCATTATTAGTGCGTGCTTCTGCTAAACCCCTTTTTTTTTTTTTTTTTGTTTCGTCGGGACCATTTACGCCACAGTACTAATACTAATCTTCTTATTAATTAGTGTTACTTACATTATGTTTTGCTTGCTGTTACCCGCCCTTCAGAAGAATTATAGATACCAGTAATAATTATATTCACCATTGAAATACAAAGTCAATTATTAGAAGCTGTGAAATATTTTGCACTGTAGCACCTCAATTTACTCATCCATATCTTTTATGATATCATAACAGATTATTACAATAAGTTTAACATAGTAGCGAAATATTAGCACTTATACAAACATTAAAATACGGAGTATATATTATGGGTTCGTTATCATCACATTAAGCGCTATTACGTGGAATCTTATATAATTCGTCTCCATAATCCAATTGGAGTATTTACTTGTTGGTTCTTTAAACTTGTTTTAAATTCTTGAATAACAAAGCTTAATATACTATTTACAAATCAGATATACAAGTAGCAACTTTATGTTCCATGTCTAAAATGGACCACTTTTGGCAAATTATCAACGGTTTTTTTTTTTTTTTTTTTTTTTTTAACGAGACAGTAATTAATTAGCTTCATCATTTAAGCTGATAGAAAATCTGATCTTACTTTAAAACTAACTGAATATATTCATAACACAGAAAATACAAAATGTATTGACTTAAAATGGTTATTAATAGTTAAAAGCTACTGAACACTGTAAAATGGCAGCTTTCTCTTAGCGTTTCTCAGTAACACGTATAATCGTATATTAATAACTCCTATGATCCTATCAAGTATCAACTATATACGGAGTATACGTAAGGTTTCTTAATTTACCTCTACGTCACTAGATTAGTGTATATATATATATATATATATATATATATATATATATATATATATATATATATATATATATATATATATACATGTACACTTTTTTTTTTTTTTTTTTTTTTTGTTTTTGTTTACTTATATTAGAAATGTCTTCTGTAGTAGTACAATATATACCTACATAGATACAATTCAGCGTGATAATATAGAGTGATTAATAGCGTAATTAGTAATATAAGTAGTGATAAGAACACATGATAATAGGTTAATAGCGACACAATCATGGAGGAGTGGTCGTAGGCTTAGCTCTAATTCAGGTCTCAACATTATGCTCTGCTACTTTATTATTTGTTGGGGACGTTAATGTATATTAAAGCTTTATTAATAATACTTAATTAGGACATAAGCTAGCCGGTAGCATCTCCCAAATTTGATCTTAACCTAATTTTTTTAACAAATAGGAATATCCATCTTTAATTATAAGAAGAAAATAATATTTATTTGATTCTCTACATTTCCGCAATATTTTTGTTGTTGTTTAGATAGTCATAACTCACAAGAGCGAGGTGAGAATCAATCACTTGTATAGTTGTATAAGTTTTATTCATTCCAACCCCATATCTCGTACCCAAACCCTAATCTACTTATATAATGACCCCTATTGAATTATATTTATTTTAGAACTTTTTTTTTTTTTTTGACAAGACTATTTTATGTTTCTCAAAATAAGGCAAGGTGACAAAACATGAACCATTAGTTATTTTATTTTATGTTTCTCACTCTTATTGCATCAATGATTCAATGGCGTGCTTACAACTTGTGCTTGGTGGTGCATGATACACTTGCACTTAAGCCTATCATTGAAACTATATATCGGTATCATCTAATTGCATACCATGCTTTATAACTTATACATATTTCGGTATTAATTATATTTTGCAAAATTCACAATATTTTGGTGGGATTAAACCCTTTAAATTAACACTTTACCTTCTATAACTTATTTTTAGAAAAATCATGAGTGACTGGGAATGCCAAAATTAGAACTCGAATGCTCACAACGTACTTGCTCACAAGTTATATGATACGAGTAATAATCTAAGAGGATCAAATTGGTCCACCTCTTATAATATATTAAGTCCATCGATCACATGTGACTTGTGATTGTAATATAATACTTCCATATTAAATAATTAATTTTCCAAGTCAACAAAATTAAGAAGAAACGCATTCTTCAAAATTTCCTAATTTTGCCTAACTTGTGTTAATCAATTTATTTATTATACGTCAAAAAAAAAACCAAACTCGTACCAGACTAGTTAGTTTGAAACCAATGTATATTGCCAAATGCTAAGTTGTTGGAGGAAGAGGTAGGTACTAGGTAGTACGTGAACAGTAGATGTAATTAATACGTCTATTGTTCAAAATTAAGGCCTTGTTTTAAAAATATGAATTCCAACAATTTCAATTAAGAGTTAGTACTAGAAAGAGTATCTATTTGTAGTTAAAATTAAAACTTATCAGATGTACATGATATTTTAATAATTATTACCTACTATGTACCTTTATATTCCAAATAATTGCATTATATCTTATAAGTAATATCATATCATATCATCATAACTTTTATACTCAATAAAAACTATGGTGATTTCCAGTGTAAATAAAAATAAAAACCATAAGATAAATGTGGTAAATAAAAATCTTGAAAAAATATGATTGTAAAGAAGAAAAGGGTGTGATAAAGAAATGAAAAAAGAGAAGAAAATGAAGGGTTGAGAATTGACAAGAGAGAAAATGACAAGGTTGGCCCCCGATCACGGCGCATATGGGCTTAAACGAAACATAGAGATTACAGTCCGTACGGGTATGTATTAATGCAGTCCACATTATTGTTTGTTTGGTTGTTTCTGCTGGAATCTAAGCTGAGTGATCCCCCACTTTCAATTCAAACTTATTGCGATTGATACATAAACAGATTTGAGAGACCAGACAATGCGATAGTGATTTATTCTTTATTTCTTTGATTTTATAGACAACAACTGAGGTACACTCATACATACTTGTATTAGTTATTCTGACCTTACAACTTGTACGCATACAGTATACACTATACTCATACACTAGTACGGAGTACTCCGTTATCTACCGTTGGACCATGGTTAACATGCAAATGGTATTACATTGGGAGGTGCATGTATTGGATTAATAACATGTTAAAGGAGTGATTGATTGATTTTGTGGCTCTTACATTTACGACTACATTTTTACATTAACATTAGTGTCTGCTGTCATTATATTCTCGAGCCCAGCGTTTGTTCCCGGGGTTGACTCTCTCCAGCTACCTCCTTGTCTCCCCCCCTTCTCTCTCCTCGATCTCCACCCCCTGTTTCATCAAATCTACCGACCTAATTTACTCTTTCCCCCCCCCCCCTTCCTTTTTCCTATTAAGATTATAGGAACTCATGTATGTTACTCCCTATGTATTAATGACAAATATTAATTAATTAATTATACTAATCTGTGAGTAATTTATCGTGCGTTTTAAAACTTGTACGGAGTACAAAAGAAGAAAAGATATTAAATGCCCTTAACCTTCCACTTAAAACATATTCTTGGGACTTAATAAAAAAAATAAGCTGATAGTTAAGATCCAGGTATATGCTTTAAAATCTACTCCATATTACTTATTTATATATAACTGTAAGGGCTACATATAACATTATCTAAATTTATTTAAAAAATTTACTCCCTTCGTGTTTTAATAAGTGTCACAGTTTGATCAAACACGCATGTCAAGACACAACTTTGACCATTAATTTATCTAATTATATGTTAATTAAATCATAGGAAATTTTATAATATGAAAGTATACATTATAACAAATCCAACCATGTCTTATGCAATAACAATTGTTTTTTTTATATATTACGAGTAATAAAATAATCAAGTCAAAGTCATTATGTGAATAATGAAAAAGGTCAACCTGTAACACTTATAAAAATATAGAGGGAGTAATCAAAATTTATAGGGGCTACAATGAAATTAAAAGAAAACTAGTAATTGAGTGGGATTGGAAGAAAAGAAAAAGGAAAGGTTCGTATAGAGTGTGGGGAGCTTGAGCTTAATGCAAATGGAGGAAAGAATGGGATGTTGTAAACAAGAATGGGATGGTATTGAACATGGTCCAGGTTACAAATAAGGATTGTCAAGTCACTAATCCGAAGTGAAACAGAATGTCTCAATCTCTCTCTAAAGACTGGAGGATCTACATGAGTAGAGTGTAGACTAGTTGTACTCCTCCTATATGGGCTATATGCCTATATCCTATGATGAATGATGAATGATGAATGATATTAACATTAACTTGAAAGAGAAATGCACTCCACTAGACACTAGTACAAGTACTGCGTAATTAGATCATCACTATCCCATTCAATTAATATTTGTAAAATACGAGTAATATAATTATTGTCCACCCACCCACTAGGCCACTACCAAGTAGAAACAAAACGAGTCCAAGATATAGTCACCATTCACCAATCAACCATCCATTTTGTCTATTGTCTATGATCGATCACTCTTATACACCAAAGATATCATTAGCCTGATTTAGAAACCAATAAATGTTGCTGCACTAGTCTAATAAACCCAATCAAAGAGTATACTTGTCCATTTCCCTATTTGGGTCCTTAGCTGTGACATAATTTGTATGGGCAGACAGCCCAATTAGGCAGGGCGGATGATGCAATCCAGTAATAAAGCCCAAATAGGTATGGGCTGGGCTGGTGGATTAAAACAAAAAGAAGGCGTAGGTTAGTAGCAGTATAAAACCAGGAGTGTGGGCACCAGCTGCAGAAATGGAGGGTTCTGGAAGCGCAGAGGCGGGTATGGGATGAACAGGGTTGAGGCTCGAAGCGGCGATGAAGAGAGGGAGAGAGAATCATAGTATGTAGAAATGATTTGTTTGTGAGGATTTATTGAAAATCCGATGATGGCAAAATGTTAGTTTTCAATCTGAATAATGACTCTATGTTTCTCTCTCTAAATCTTCGCTGCTCGTCTCCTCTTCATCCCAAAAACAAACAAACAAACATACAATTACATAATCAATACGGAGTATATAAATATAATACGCTTTCTTTCTTTCTTTCTCTCTCTCCTCCTTTTACGACAACACCCACCTCTCGTCGCTTCCCCCTCCCGAACCTTATGATGATTCTCTCTGAAGGTTCCCTTTTTTTTTTTTTTTTTTTTTTTTGAGTTTTTGTTTTGTTCAACATTTTTCCGGAACCAAGGGTTTTTCATTTTTGATTTTCGATTTTACATTATTTTTTTTCTACACAAAAATGTACCTTTATCAATTACAAGCATGCACCGGAAATTACTGAATTTTCACAAGATTTTATTGAAGCTAGTACAGTGTGTGTTTTATTGAATTGGAAAGGTAGAAGTAGAGGTGTTTAGAAGTGGATTATGTGATTGTAGATTGAATGTTGATTCTGGTGATTGGTGTGTTTTCCGCAAAAGCCTGAGGTCTTGAGTGCATAGCTTAGCAACCAGAATCAGTCAACTGTAATACAAACCTATTAGCTCAATTTTGGCAGAGCATCGTGCTGTATTATTGCTGCACAATGATGTAGGTTCGAATCCTACATAGGTTTTTTTATTTTTATATTTACTTGCTCTAATTATGGATTCCTATTGTTGCCTATTGATTTCAGGCCTAGGTGGGCACTGCTTCTCTCCATCTGGTGCTTGATATCACAATCACTGATTGACTATACTGAATCACTAAATACATTATTTTTCATACAATGTCTTTGATCAAGGCTACAATTTTGGATAGCAATGCTTATTTACTGTTAGCAACACATTAAGATCTTGGTAGCTAGTGAATTCAATTTCTTTAATGTTACATTGGGATTCAATTTCCCACTTTTGTTTAGCATCACATACCAATGACTGTTTCTGTGTGTTGTCAATACTACTATATAAAATTATCAGAGCATTGTAGGAATATCAGAAATCCATGTCAAGGAGGTGAACAGTCTTGCCTTCTACTCCAATATTTTGTGCTTGAATTTCAGGTATATTTGGTTGGATCTCTTTTCTGATGATATTTTCAACTTAATCTAATTTGTTCAATGTTGGGATGTGAATTTTGTGCCCTTTTTGTTCCTTTTCATTTTTCTATTGCCAGATCATTGTGATTCTCATTCTCAGTTCCTTAAATTGTGAGCATGGCTTTTTAAGACACCAAATTTTCCTTGTGTCTAGGCTAAATTAAGAACAACTAATCGAAAAATATGCATTCTATTTATAGCTAGCTTGATGTAAGGAAATGCTGTAACTAATTCCCTCTCCCTACTCTCTTGGATCTTTGAAACATTTTGCTCCCCCTCCTTCAACTGTGCATGCATCAACCTAGGAAGCTCCACAAACTAAACACATCTCATTTTCCCTTTCCACCTCTCCCACTTAGCATTCATTTTTGGGTTTTGCGCCTGAGTAATTCTTGATCCCAAAACTAATCAAATCCTTCCTAAATCATTTTCACAAATGGCTTTTGGAAGGATTCGAAATAACAAAAGACCCTCATCTTCCTCAAATTCATACCTCTCAACCATCACTACTGTAGTCTTCATAGGCCTCTGTGTTTTGGGTGTATGGATGCTCACCTCTGATAGTAATTTAGTCGTTGCTCCTAAAGCCACTACTCACGCTTCTACCACTGTTACACATGATGAATCCAATGATCTTACCACCCTCAACAAATCTAATGAGAAGATTAATTCAGGGACATTTGAAGATAACCCCGGAGATCTCCCCGAAGATGCCTTAAAAACAGGCGAGTCTCAGAAATCTCAGGAAGAGCAGAAGATTTCAGACCAATCAAGTACAAAGGACTACTCTAAAGAGTCTAATGTCGGAGTTTCCTACCAACATATTGCGGAAAGAAAGGATTCAACACAGGAAAATGAACCAAAAAATGATGGCACTGGTAGCAAGGCGAAAGAGAAAGAACCTGATGATGAAAGTGCTCAGAGTCTGGGTGGCAAAGATTCAGAACGTGAAAAGCAAAAAGAACGCCAGGAACAAGTTTCAGAAGAAAGCACGCTCACTGAGAAGCAGAACATTCAACAAAGTGTTGTACTTGATCAGGACAGCAACAAGCCTAAACAGCAAGAACAAGTTGTAGAGAGCAAAGATGGTGATCAGCAAAATGCAAGCGATCAAAGTAATGAAGAGGCAACACAGAAATATGACAATCAACAGGCTTTGGAAGATGATCAACAACAGGACAGAGAACAACAGAAAGCTGACAACCAACAGACAGTGGAGAACCAACTGGATCAGGAACAACAAAAGTCTATTAATCAACAACAGACTGTAGAGGAACAGCAACAGCAGGATGAGAAACCAATCACATTTAGCGATGAGACAAAGAGTGATCCATCTAAACAGGATAGCAGTGAAGATTCAGATGCTAAACAGGAAAAAGAAGACACAAGCAAGCAAGACAAACCGAAGGACCAACAGCAAGAAAACGAAGCTGCCAAACAGGGTGATCCTGAGCAGGAGACTGAGGGAAATACTCAGACAAAGGACTCAACAGGATCAACTGATGATAAATCTAAGGAGTCAAACTCACTCCCAAACTCGGGGATTCCAAAGGAATCCAATGAATCCAAAAGGTCTTGGTCGACTCAGGCAGCTCATTCCAATGATGAGAAACAAAGGCGGAAGGAGAATGTTAAAGGACAAGTTGAGGAGAGTCTATATGGGTACACATGGAAACTCTGTAATGTGACAGCAAGCTATGACTATATACCTTGTTTGGACAATGTGAAAGCACTACAAAGATTGCGCAGTACAAAACATTTTGAGCATCGTGAGAGGCACTGCCCGGAGGATCCCCCAACTTGCCTAGTGCCCATTCCTCAAGGCTACAAAAAACCTGTCCAGTGGCCACAAAGCAGAGATAAGGTGAGATTATGTTACAACTAATTTCACCTATTCCCTAGAGTCAGCAAGATATACATGTTTCAATGTTTGTTTTGATTACAGTACCAAAATTTAACATGAGATATATGCTTATATATTATTTATGCAGTTATGCGCCGTAAAAAAGAAAAAAGTACTTAACAATGTTATGCTTGTTTTGTCAGATTGTAAATCAGCTTTATACTAGTTTGAGAGTAATTAAGATTTACCTGTGTGGAATTTGGCAGATTTGGTTTCATAATGTACCCCACACAGAATTAGCAAAGGTTAAAGGCCATCAAAACTGGGTTAAAGTTTCAGGGGAGTTCTTGACTTTTCCAGGTGGTGGAACACAATTTATACATGGTGCTCTTCATTACATAGATTTCATTGAAAAGGTGAGTTATTTTTTCATCACTGACATGTTCACAAAGTCAACTGAGGAGTGCACTAGGTGAGAAGAGAAGACATCAGCAAAGTTTCATCAATTTTCAATCTGCGAGAAGTGGTCTTATCCTACCATTTCTGAATCACAAAATATGATATTTGACCTGCCAAAACATATAAAACAAAAGAATTTACACGCTCATCTTTATTTATAAGAAAATATAAAAGTAGCAGTACACACACCGCACAGTGAACACGCAACAAATATTAATGCTGCAGATAAAGGCAGAATAACTGATGCTGACTGTTATTTGTCTACAGACTGTCCCAGGAATAAAATGGGGCAAGCACACAAGAGTAGTATTGGATGTTGGATGTGGTGTTGCAAGCTTTGGAGGTTTTCTTTTTGATAGGGATGTACATACAATGTCATTTGCGCCCAAAGATGAACACGAGGCTCAGGTCCAGTTTGCCCTTGAGAGAGGCATACCAGCAATATCTGCTGTTATGGGTTCTCAGAGGCTTCCATTCCCTAGCAGAGTGTTTGATGCAGTGCATTGTGCTCGTTGTAGAGTTCCATGGCATGCAGAAGGTTAGTAATCTAAACTTCAGTTCATTAAAATGGTCCATTTACATTGTTATTTAGCTACTTTACCATTCAACATAAAAAATAGAAGGGGAACATAAGGCTATATGTATATCCCAAAGAATAATTATCTGAAGTACGTACTTTGTGGTAGACTTTTACTCGAACAAGAGGACTGACTGATTTTTAAAATGAATCTCCTGTTATTAAATGAAAAGGCTAGGTTTAATGTACTTGGAATTTCTATGAAGGTGGTAGACTTCTACTTGAGCTGAACCGAGTACTACGACCTGGAGGGCATTTTATTTGGTCAGCTACACCTGTGTACCAAAAGCTTAAAGAAGACATGGATATATGGGAAGGTATTTATGGTTCTATATATGAACTAGGAAACTAAAATTTAACAACATATGCATATTCGAAGAAACTGATTAATGTAGCTTTATGTTATCAGCCATGTCTGCACTAACTGCATCAATGTGCTGGAAGCTTGAGAAGAAAGAGAAAGATCCTATAAATAAAATTGGAGCTGCCATATTCCGCAAACCAACAAACAATGAATGTTATGACAAGAGAAAGGAAAATAAACCTCCAATGTGTAAGGCTGATGATGATCCGGATGCTGCATGGTAATTATCTCAATCACCCTCAGCCCCATACAGGGAGTATACGACATCTAATAATTGTTGTTTTTTTTTTTTTTTTGGAAAGGTATGTGCCACTGCAAGCATGCATGCATCGGGTGCCGACTGATGAGTCTGCAAGGGGAAGCAAATGGCCAATTAGGTGGGCTAAAAGGTTGCAAGCTCCTCCATATTGGTTGAACAGAACTCAGATGGGCATCTATGGAAAACCAGCTCCTGATGATTTTGAAAAAGATTACGAGCACTGGCAAGATGTGATGAACAAGTCATATCTGAATGGACTTGGCATCAGTTGGTCAAATGTGAGGAATGTAATGGACATGAGAGCGGTTTATGGAGGGTAAAAAATCCCTTTTTCTCTGCTCATGCTATATAATATTTGTATTTGGAGCAAAGGACTTGAACTAATTACATGCTAAACTTCACGTTTCTAGATTTGCGGCAGCATTAAAAGACCTTAAGATCTGGGTCCTGAATGTTGTCAATGTAAATTCTCCGGACACTCTTCCCATAATCTTCGAAAGAGGGCTCTTCGGAATATATCATGACTGGTGTGAATCTTTCAGCACATATCCTCGAACATATGATCTTCTGCATGCTGATCATCTTTTCTCAAAGCTGAAAGAAAGGTGAGAGAGTCTATTTCCAATAAAGAAAAGTTCATGACATTAAAATTCTAGCAGATCATAATTTCTGTATTGTTTTCTTTGTAGGTGCAAACTTATGCCAGTGATGGCAGAAATAGATAGAATAGTTAGACCTGGAGGCAAGTTAATTGTTCGTGATGAGTCCAGTGCAATTGGAGAAGTTGAAAACTTGTTAAAATCACTACATTGGGAGGTTCATTTGGCATTCTCCAAGGATGAAGAAGGAATACTCAGTGCTACAAAATCTGATTGGCGACCAACATATGATCCGTGATATCTTACCTTGTAGCTTTGCAGGTGGTAAACAGCTCCATGTAGTTCAAGATTTGGCACATAGCAATACCCTGGATTTGCATCCCAAGGGATTTTGTAGAAGCAATTGCATTTCAAAAAGCAGCTCTGTTGCTGTTTTGCCAGTCTCAAACATAGACCATGAGAAGGAAAACTCCAGAGATGAAATGCAAAGGTGTGATACAATGATATTGTAATGTGAAGTTAATTAGTACTGACAGTACAAGGTTGGTAGCATTAAAGTTAGAATGATCGTAGTACTTTGAAAAATTATGGCTTGTGGGTCAAATATGACCGCGGCCAGAAACTCATGTGTATGAGAAGCTGCTAGTTGGTTAAAGTTATGTGCGTTTGATTGATAGTTGGCTTAGCAGCTACAATGCCAATAAGCACCTTCAATGACAGATATTATACGGATTAGTCAGTAAGTTTACACAAGTTCAGAATCATTTCGCAAAACAACAAATTGAGAATTGCATTAAAATTTCATTTCTATGGGAAGGAGCTTAGACTCCGTTTGTTTAGATGGAAACATATTTCATGGAAACTCATTTTTAAAAGAAAACAATTTTTAATGGAAAACATGATAGTGAAAAGGGTTTTCCTTTCTTTGTTTGATTCTAGGAAAACTTATTGGGAAATGAAAATAGAAGTAAAATAAAGAGAAAAATATGGCATTTACAAAAGGAAAATGTTGACCTCATCTAAAAAGTAACTTTTCACCTAAGAGAAAATTGTTTTCTACCCTCTAACATAACAACAAAGGAAAACGAAGAAATGCAGAAAAATTACTTTCAATCCACCAAAACAAATAGAGCCTTAAATACAAATTACAATTAAAAAAAGAATACAAAATTTTATTTTTTATTTTTTTTCCTTTTCCTTTTCCTATTCTGATTTAAGGATAAAATAGAACAAAAAGTACTTTAACAAGACATGGTGTGAAACTGATTACAAACCCTATCAAATCTATCATAATCTCATGACTTCATGAGTACATCAGGTAAAAAAAAACCCATGAACTGTCCTCATATCTCGAACACTGTAGTTTTGACAACCAATTGGGGATGTTTTTCTTCAAAAACATCATTGTAGAGTGATCATGAATTCATGATCAACTACTTGAGAGATACTTCTGCAACTGCCCGCTCAAGACAGCACTCTGAAGATCTGAATTTAAAAAAAAAAAAAAAGAAAAACATCATGCAAGATGACAGTTGAGAAGAGACAGGACAAACAAATTCATGTCACTGTAAACTTATGAATCTGAATCTGAGATAGCATACCATCTGATCCTCCAATATGCTTGCCATTGACAAAAACTTGTGGAACTGTACGTTGACCAACCAGTTCAAGCAGGATATCCTGAATATGAGAACCATCATCTGAAAATGACGATTAACAGTAGAAACATGTTGAACCAGATTCATTAGGAGTACCAAACGATGTTATGGCCTGGACAAACAATAGACTCAAAGAATACCTCGGAGGTCAAGCTCCACAACAAATGGCTTTTCCTGCAGTTCATTAAATATACGCTTGGCACGTAAAGAGTATCTGCATCAATGTCGATAATCATAATGAAGAGGCTAGTGTATAATGCAAAGTCCAAAATTCCACTTTGATAGCACAAAGACCATAGATGTAACACAAAACAATAACAAAGAACAAAGACCATGTCTGATTTAACCAAAAGATTTATGCAAAACCTTAAAACCATGAGTAATTTTGTACAAAGTTAAGAACATTGACCAGTTGAGTAGCCCAAGCAAAAAGGTCATATGAAACAGCAGAGTTAAACAGCTAGCTCAAACTGTCATTATAGTAAGAATTAGGGGAAATCATACTACATAGTATGATTATGATCTAAAACAATACTCACATAATCAATAAACGTGAAACTTCCCAATAATAATTATAATAGTACTGTACTAATTTCGGTGTTCCAAATTTGTCAATTAGCATGGAATGGAGTATTAATAACACCCAATAAATCAAGCCTCAGGAATTGTTAATCACAAAATCAAAGTGTAATGTCAGTATGATATGTGAACCAAAACCCTAAATAGCAATTACAATCAAAAGCGCAAAAAAACTTGTTTGAAGCAGAGCAACATAGAATTAGCTGCGTTAGGGTTTGAAACAAAGTAATCAGGAGAAAGAGAATTACGGGCAGTATGATTTGGAGAAAACGGCGATTCGATTGGAGTAAATGACATTGTTGACGAAGGCAGAAGCTGAATTGCTGGCCATGGCTGCTTTGAATCCGCCATTGTCACCCAAAAAGAGCATCACGACAAAAATCACCCCAATTCGATCACACCGCTTCATCTTTCTCTCTCTTTCTTCTTAGTAAGTCAACGCCTGATGCCCTGATTCTGGTAATAACTTTGGATTATTAATTCATGTACTGATGTACATGTACTACCAGAGTATTTATTTAGTCATGTATACCAAATACTGCAAATGTACTAAGGCCCAATCTCAAATTCACCCCTTCTAGTATAGTATGCCCAAAATCTAAATTACTCCCAACTTCAAATCTTTCCAATTTTCTACTACGTACATTCTTCTCTTCAATTTTCCCTATTCAGCATTTATAACTGTTTGGGTCCAATTTAGTCCAATTGGGCTTAGGCATTAAATGATCCAATTAAAAGCCCAAGGTCAAGGTTCATCTCTCCAATTGTGCTAAAGTCAAAGATCAGCCTTCAAGTCAAGCCAATTGGGCTAAGGCCCAACTTCTCCATGTATGAAGAGGTATAAAAGCCATCAATATTACATTCTCATATATTCTCATATATTCTGATAGATTCTGATTAATTCAAGAAAAGCCTCAAGCAACAAATTCTCTTGCATAGTGTTTTCTTTCCACAAATTGTACTGACTTTAGCATTGGAGGGGCCTTCCTCGGCAACACCCCCGAGGCTAGTTTACGTGTGTTTACTGTGCAGGAAACCTTCGGCCCAACATTACTTGGACCGAATCTAGTCTTCTCCGTTTCATCGGACCTTCGGCAAGGTCCCATTGTTTTCACCCGAAACAATTTGGCGCCGTCTGTGGGGAAGACTTTCAAAAATCTTTAAGCCAAATTTCTAACCAAGATCATCTTACAATTATCTTAGTAGCAATGGCTAAGAACCGCAAGAGCAAAGGCCTCCGTCAAGGAGCGGGCGAAAAGCCTAAAACCCCTACACCATCACCCTCGCCGGACCGGAACTCTCCCAAGGGTGCCAGCTCGGGGGAGGATCATACAAGGAGGATTCCCTTTCTCCCGTGATTCATGACTCTCATCATAGGCCGAGTCACTCTCGGCCTAGCAGGGGTGAGTCCGATCATAGGACACATTCAGTGCCCCAAAGCCAACCATCGACTGTGCGCCCTCATTCCCATACTCGGCCAAGGACCCCTTTGACGGGGCCCAGCTCGGAAGAGGTGGCAAGAGCGCTGGCAGTTCTCATGGAGGCGATGAGGGCACAAAATATGCCACCACCTCGTGATCGAACTCCTCCGCATACCCGACATCAGCGGAGGAAGCTAGACCATGATGGTGGGAAGCTTCCTTCCTTCCGGGAATTGGAAGAGTGGGAAGAGGATACCTAGAAAAATGAAAAAGAGAGGAAAAAGAACCCTCAATTTTTAAAAGGATCCTCATCCTCCCGACCAGAGACGCATAGGAGCAGCAGCTCAGCTTCTCGGCCAGAATCTACTCACCGAGAACCTGAGACTGTTCGCCGAAGCGTCCTCGACCGACTCGGCGGCAAGGAACCGAGCGTGCGCAGTCGCCTCTCGTTCCCTGCGGCCGAGGCCCAGACTTCCCAGCCAGGGACGAAAACCACTCCTACCTCTCTAAGAGGGCGGAGCGCGGTCCCTTCGGCCAGGAACAAGGGCAAGGCCGTTATGCTACCCGCCAGTTCACCATTCGAGCAAAGGATTCTGGAAGAGCACGTGCCCACGGTTAAAATACCGTCGCACATCACATATGACGGGACCTCGGATCCGAAGGATCACGTGGCCTCGTATGAGACTCATATGCATCTTTGCCCCAGATCCGAAGCGACTTGGTGCAAATATTTCCCAACCACTCTCAAGGGGGTCGCGCAAGCGTGGATCTCCAAGGGAGTAAAGCAAGGCTCCATAACAGGGTGGGATGATCTATCCTCCAAATTTAGGAGCAAGTTTTCCACGGCAAACCGCCGAGAGAAGACTACTGCAGAACTCATGAGTCTGCAACAGGGGGAAACCGAAAGCCTCCGAGACTATCTGACCCGTTTTAGTAACGAGTCATCCAGCGTCTCTCAGCTGGACCAGGGGCTAGCCGTTTTTGCAATACAGAATGGCCTTCAGCCCGGGAAGTTCCTTGACTTCATGGTCATGCATACCCCGCAGACCTTGGAGGAAGCTCTGAATGCCTCGGATAAGTTCATCCGAGCCGAAGAATGGAACAAAGCGAAAACCCAACCTCAATTTGGGGGAGGGAAACAAAGACAAATACCCTTGGCTGAAGGCCAAAGCCATAAGGCAAAGGGAAAGTCAAAGGCCTCGGAGCAATCTTCGGCCAGCGACCCAAAGAAGGAAAAATCTGCCTCATACACAGGCATATACGAGTCCTACACTCCGCTCTCTCTTCCACGCGCCAAAATTTACAGCGTGACGAAGGAGGAGCAGAGTTACCGAAAGCCGAGACCACTCCCAGAGTGGTATCAGCGAAAAAATAAAAATCAGTGGTGCGAGTTCCACGAGTCTTCGGGACACAACACTGAGGAGTGTATCCAACTGAAGGACCAGATAGAGGACATGGTCCGGAAGGGATACTTGAAAAAATACATCGCGGATCACCGCGAGAAAAAAGAGTCCGAGAAGTCAGCAAAGGACTCTCGGCAAGACCTCGACTTCCCCCGGAAGAACAGTAAAAAGCCGGAGGGGAAATTCCCTCTCCGATCAATGTTATCTCGGGAGGAATATACTCTCGGAGGGAGCACAAGCGACACCTTAGAGCTTTGACTCACCAGGTGAACAACGCTGGCATTCAATCTCCCCAGTCGCCGGTGCCGAACATGACGTTCACAGCCGTCGACTGCCGGGGGATAACGTTCCCTCACGAGGATCCGTTGGTGATCATCGCCACGGTGGCCAACCACGACGTCAGTAAGGTCCTTGTTGACGGTGGCAGCGGAGCAAACATTCTGTTCCGAAAGGCCTACAATCAAATTAAGCTGAAGCCCAAGCACCTTACGCCGGTACCCTACCCGGTATCCGGGTTCAACGGGGCTTCAACTTATCCAGATGGGAAGGTGACACTTCCTATCACCATCGGCTGCGATGAGGCAGCCAGGAACGTCATGATTGAATTTTTGGTCATTGACGCTCCTTCAGTGTACAACGTGATTTTGGGGAGACCCATAATTCATGAGATTCAAGGGGTCGTCTCAACTTATCATCAGCTGATGATTTACGTCTCAGACGCCGGCTTCCCCGAAAGGATACAGGGCAACCAAAAGGACGCCCGAAGGTGCAACTACCTCAAGCCATCCAGTAGTCGCCCAGATGACGACAAGGATGAGGAGGAGAAAGAAAAAGAAAGAGGGCCAAGCACAAAAAGGCCGAAAGGCCTAAGTGCTTCGGCTCAAGGATCTGAACCCAGAGGTAAAGGGCCCGAAAGGGAAAAGGCTAGCTCTTCAGCTGAACCGCAAGACTCAGAGAGCCAGCCGAAGAACAAAAAGACTGGGACACCTGCTGACATAGGCAGCAGGCCAGATTATGAAGAGTCCAGTCCATCAGCAATGGACATGGACCAACAGACTGAAACAGTTGAGTTGGCCGAAGGAGACGTTGAGAAATGTGTAACAATCGGGATGGACCTTGATCCGAACACCCGTTGTGAACTTATTCAGCTCCTTCGGGACAACAGGGATGTGTTTGCTTTCTCGGCAGCTGATATGCCCGGGATAAGTTCAGACCTCATCTCCCATAAGCTTAATGTTGACCCAACGTGTCGACCAGTAAAGCAAAAGAAGCGGAATTACTCCGCTAATAAGAACCGAGACATCGCAGCCGAGGTCAAAAAATTGCTGGAGGCAGGCTTCATCGAGCCTTACCAATATCCAGAATGGCTGGCAAATGTGGTGATGGTTCAGAAGGCAAATGGTACCTGGAGGATGTGCGTTGACTTCACGGACCTAAATAAGGCTTGTCCGAAGGATTTCTATCCCTTGCCGAGGATCGATCAGCTAGTCGATTCGACAAGTGGCCATGCCTTGCTTAGTTTCATGGACGCATTCTCGGGGTATCATCAGATCTCCATGCACCCCGACGATCGAGCAAAGACAACATTCGTCACGAACGCTGGGGTGTACAATTACAAAATGATGCCCTTCGGATTGAAAAATGCGGGGGAAACCTATCAAAGGCTGGTGGATCAAGTTTTTGCCGATCAAAAGGGCCGAAACATGGAAGTCTATGTCGACGATTCGATCGTCAAAAGAAAAAAACCTGAGGACCATGTTAAGGACCTGGCTGAAACTTTCGCCACCTTAAGGAAGCATCAAATGAAGCTGAATCCAAAGAAGTATGTCTTCGGCGTGAAGTCAGGGAAATTCCTTGGGTTCATAGTCAGCAAAAGGGGGATTGATGCCAATCCCTCCAAAGTCAAAGCAGCGCTCGACCTTCCTGAGTCGAAAACAAAGCGGGATGTTCAGCGGCTCACCGGAAGAATGGCAGCCCTCTCGAGGTTCATTTCCAGAGCTTCGGATAAGGGGTTACCTTTCTTCAAAGCCCTGAAACTCCCGAAAACAAAAGAGCTCGTTTGGGAGGAAGAGCAAAAAGACGCCTTCAAACAGCTTCGGGAGCATCTGGCTCAACTCCCAACGCTGGCTAGCCCAGCAGAAGGAGAAACTTTGTACCTGTATGTGGCCGTTAGCCCAGCCACCATCAGCGCAGTACTGCTGAAGGAAGAAAGTAAAAGTCAGCAACCGATCTACTTTGTCAGTCATACACTGACGGATGCCGAGACTCGCTACCCTCTACTCGAGAAAGTCGCTTTCGCGGTAGTAGTAGCTGCTCGGAAGCTGAGGCCCTATTTTGATTGCCATCAGATAGTGGTCTTAACTTATCAGCCGTTGGAAAAAGTTCTCGGCAAGGTTGAAAAATCTGGTAGGCTAGCCAAGTGGGCTTTTGAGCTCACCGAATTCAGCATCAGCTACCGCCCGAGGGCTGCCATTAAGGCTCAAGCTCTAGCGGACTTCTTGGCCGAATGCTCATACCAAGAAGCGCTAGACAATGAAAAGAAAGTCTGGACCGTGTTTACGGATGGATCTTCCACCGAAAACGGTTCGGGGGCAGGAGTAGTGATAACTTCTCCCGAAGGCAAATCCTTTGAGTACGCACTAAAATTTTCTTTTAAGGCCTCGAACAAT